CCAAGCTTTGCTCCCAATACAAATGCAGAGTTGTAAACATTCAGATTCTCTGAAACTCTCACGATGACTACTGAGCACGAACGAGCATTGACAGCCAAACAGACTAATGAGGCCTTCGTAAAAATCGAGCTTCACCAAACAATACAGAGAACGCGTATAATTGAGTATAATAACGAGGGACGCGTAGCTGCGTGGTGTAGGCCTACTTGACTAGAGGGTCGCGTATCGTTCTAGGACCATGTACGAGTACAGCTACATCCACAGCGTACAGCGTGTAATTAATTCCAACACTTCCTTATGACCTTACACAAAGTCTGTGTTAGCTTGAGGCAACTGGGATCTCCGATTGGACAGTGGACTTAGTGAAATGAAACATCTCACAATTATATTTCGTCAAAATTAGGAGTAGATTGCAGATAGTAGATTGTAGTTGGTGGTGAGTTTTCATTTGTGCCAGTTCGTACATGCATAATTGTGAAATACAAGTTTTTAAGTCCCTTCGGGCAAAGTTTGTCGTTATTAGACGTAAAATGAATACAGTATGACGTTTTGCGTCACATGTTGACTTATGATGAAGAATTTTTGTGTCATACTTAGTTATACATTTTCATATACAGACTGTCCCAAAAGTCCCGGACCGGTTTAATATTTTCTAAACGACAACAGATAAATCAATAAGATTTGGTACATCAACACCACACCTAAAAATCTACTTTTTTAAGGAAATATCAATTTCCTGTCACATCATAGGGACGTCCCGCAAGGAGTCAGGAGTAATTTAAGTCAGGAGTGATTTAAGGAAATCTTAAATAGAAGCATAGGTTGACATGTACATCAAAGTAAAGGTCTTTACTAGCAGAATATAATGCCACAAATTTGAACTCAAACGGACAACCAAGTCAAGAATGACAGTGGTTTAAAGATTAATTTAATTTGCATTTGGGGGCACAGCCCTAGGAATCGGAAAAAAATTATTAACGTAAGCATAGGTCGATATGCACATCAAATTAAAGGTCTTCACTAGTAGATTACAATGCCATAAATTCAAGCTCAAAAGAACGCCTGAGTAAAAAATGGCAGTTGTTCAAAGATTCAAAATGGCAGGTTCAAGAAATCTTTGAACGGCTGCCATTTTTTACTCAGGCGTTCTTTTGAACTTGAATTTACGGCATTGTAATCTACTAGTAAAGGTCTTCAATTTGATGTGCATGTCAACCTATGCTTCTATTTAAGATTTCCTTCTGACTCCTTGCGGGACGTCCCCATGATATGACAGAAAATTGATAGTTCCTTAAAAAAGTAGATTTTTAAGTGTGGTGTTGATGTGCAAAATCTTATAGATTTATCTGTTGTCGTTTAGAAAATATTAAACCGGTCCGGGACTTTTGGGACAGTCTGTATATTACCACATCACCTGTACATGTTACATGATGCGATTATTTGCATTCCAAAACTAACCAAACTTTGTTTAAAGTTTGTAGGATATACATACACTACGTACGTAACACAATTTGCGTCCTATATCGAGATAATAAGCGGGTACAACAGCAAAGGTGTCAAACTGTTGACGAAGCGGATGGCAAGATGACAAAGGAGGAATGTTGGCGTCTGGATTCCTTTAGCCACTTTGTTTAAGATAAATTAACCTTCCGCATAATAAAGCCGTCGTAGACTCATGTAATTAGAAACCCGGGTAAACTTTGGTTACAAAGTCCAATATTGGCAGGAGTATGCCCAGTTTGATTAACCCAGTTATAAAAGAGGCTAATTTTGCGGAGAGTTTATTTAAAGCCGGTATTATTTCTTGCATTTTATTAAGAGAAGAATGTGTACCAAAGTTATGTTTTATTGTGTTTTAAAATTAACTTGTTATATACATCTCTTTTGAACCTAAATTTGCAAAACAATTATAATGCTTGATTTAGTTTAATTATGATAGTTTTCAAATATACTAACTACAGAAAGCCTATGCATACTATATTTTGTACTCATTATTTTAAAAACATTATTATTTAACCTCTCTTTTTGTGGTGATGCTAGAACAGTGAATTGCAATCCTGCCTTTAATTGTGAAACTTAAAAAAAATCAGAAAAGATTATGAAAATTTGTAACTATTATAAAATATTTGTAAATACATTACATCGATTGACATTTTCCGAGGCTGAATACGATCACCTGACATTAAGAAAGGAACGCGCTTAAATTTAGCCGGAGAGTTTAGAGTTCTTTCATAATTTTGACTTCACAACCCTTAAACAATTATGCATATACAACCAACGTATACAATAAGGCGAACCCTTATTTACGTAAATGTTTTTACATTTTAGCCCCATCCCCACTCTAAACATCAAACAGTAATGATTCGTTAATACCTTATAAAGGGGTTAATGTCAAAACTGCAACACGGTAATTATAATGAGCACCAAAGTCCTAACACGGGCGAATCATAAACAAAACATAGGGGGAAGGGTCACAATGATCGTACCAATGGATATTTCCATCACGGCAAAACACAGTGCTTGTACATGTTTAATTAAGCCTGTTTAATTACTAATGGCCGTACAAAAATAATTAACCAAGTGATATTATGCAAATAATGATAACGGATATCTAGCGCGATAATTGATTCAGGTGCGAGAATTATGGGATTGGTTTACAGCTGGATTAACATAGGTTGATTGAAATTGTTCACGGACATTTGGAAACGTTGACGTGTGTGTTGAGGGCTGATAAAGTTGTAAATCTCGCTGATTATTTGTTATTCAATTATTATTCTTTGTTATATAATGAGTTGAATCATTGACGTATGTTGGTTTAAAATTTAAATTTTGAAAGTAGGAAATCATTGAGGTAAGTTAGTAACTTCCGGATATTTGAAGATCAAACAGAGCCTAAATATTTCACTTATCTGGCCTTGAAAACAGTAGTATCGTATGTTGAATTTTAGAATACAACAAGACTGCTGAATTTTTTTTAAATTGTGTATTACGGTTTTTGTTTATTCCAAAATGTTTGATTTTTAGTAAAGCTTGTTTAATTTTACTCAATTAACGAAATACAACGATGATTTTTAAAATTTTTAGTAACAATGGAATGCACAAACTAATAATAGCTTCATAAATAAAATAACAAGTACAATGAAGGACTTACTTAATCTGACACTGGCTACGGAAATCTACGCGTGAAGAGAGAAAATTTCACTAATAATGTCTCACCTAAATTACGGTTTTTGACAAGAATACTATGTTTAAAACATAGATTTAGTCATTCAAGAATTGGATGATGAAATGGTAGTTTTTTTGGAAGTAACACAAACACATGTATTGGTAAGTTCAAACTGTTTGTGATTATTTCACTATGAGAAACGTTACGTTTTAAAATGATTCCGAACCATATGGGACGTTTATCATTAATATACTTAAAACGTATAAATTTTTAAATCCATCCTCCATATACTCTCTATGAAACATATTTATCAATACACAGAAATTTTAAAAATAAAGCAAACAAACATACAAACTGTTCAAACGAAATAAATACAATTGTGCCATCGCTAATAATTAACCCCAGTGATGGAATATTGGGCAAATAATACCAAACACAGGCAGTGTTAGTTGATTCAGTGGGCAGGATCATTTTAGATTTGTACAGTTGAATTGGCATTGCGGAATATACAGCCGAGTGAGGCGGCTGTGATTAATTATTTTAGTTTGTTCTATGACAATAATCGTGAATATGTTTTTCATATTAAATTGAAATAGCTTTTGGCGAGTTGACGTGTATGAGTATGGCATTTCAGTAGACCCTAAAGCGATTTACTATTTCAAGTAAAAATGCCAACGATTAAAAGGTTAACATCTTATGATATTACTATGACAAAAAAAAATATATCTTTACAATGTTCACGCTCCTTTTCCTACATATTGTTCAAATGATTTGACTTATAAAATTTGTATATATATATACAAGTATAAAATAAATGACTTGACATTTCGTGGGATATAAACATGACCTGCCCTCTACAACTTTCATAGTCATACAATACTTATGTTTAACAAGGTTTAGGTAAAGACCTCCCGTTTTAACACATTTCTGTTCAAGCTACAAATTAAAGAAATTTCAATTTACCTCTTTATGATATGCATAAAACAGCAATGAAAATTACGTCGTAAACCCGAAACATTAAATAATTATGTGCATTCAGTGAATCACCCACTACACGGGCGTAACAATAAAAGTGTTAATTAATTACATCACAGTAACATAGTGGATAGCTGTTAGTTGCAATGTAGTTGATAATTTAATTACACTTAAAATTATTTATTGAGCGTTTGTTATAGTTTAACACCGTAATTAAAAAGAAGTTCATAGTGAAGGCATGTTTCGTAGTACCAAACAAATTTACAAGAAAAAAATTTGAACGAAAATTACCTGATTATTTATTATTTTTTATGAATTGTTGTACAATCATGAACAAAATGAAGAGATTTTCACCATCAGCAAATAAATATATCCGTGTAACTAAAAATATTAAACAGTACAGTAGCTTCTATTCGAGGCAGGCTAAATGTATATTCATGGCATTCCCGCTGGTAGATTTTAAGTAGAAATTGTTTGATTATTTCATCAATTTATGACGTGATTGAAGTAAAAATGCCACACGATCTTTTCTGCCTTTCAAAAGTTTCACGAGTAATGTTTCAGTGCCCCGATGTCAAGTTGGGGGTTTTCCTCGATATATTATAATTCTTTGCGCTTTAATCTTTGGTTAAGCGTATACAAAATGAAAAATGTGGTTATTAATTTTGTATTAAGTTGAAATAGATTTTCGATCCAAATACATGAAATGATAAGAAATAACACTCGAACGCTCTCTGCGACAACCGGACAGAAAAGAGATTAAAACTATCTCCTTCTGATCCATGAAGATGACAAGTCCTTCAGGGAGTTCATGTACAGTGTAACTTATATTTATCTAAATATAATGTAATCTACTCACCGCATTGCTGTGCGTCTGATCAGTCTTTAGTTCCTTGTGGTTGGAGAACTGCACATAGACAGCGCGGCCTCGCAGTTGCGCCATGCATGACGTGAAATACGTCACCATGGTCGACGCGGCCACCTCGTCCGCCATCTCCAGGAAAGCCTGTAAATAAATACAATTATTGAAACTTTAAATATAAATTATTAACGTTTTGTTATCTAACACATGTTGGAAGTGAATATATAAAAAACATCAAGTACTCAAATAGAGACAATTTGGAAGAATGTAGGAAATATCAGGCTGGAAAGACTAATATTATATATTTTAGTCCTTTATCTAGCAAAATTTAAATATAACTCCCTCGTTGTGTTGATGTCCCTATAAATACCGTGTTACAAATTATTTCCATCACTTTTAACTAATAACACATTGAGAAGCTATTATTACACAGTATTGGTTCAGTATTCAATTGGTTCTTTCAAATCGAAGGCTGGGATTGAACACAATTTTTTTTAAACCCCAACCAACCTTTTAAACCTTTTATATTTAATTAGTGGTTGGCACAGCTAAAACTATAACCATTACAACACTACAAAAAAAAACTGCCCCCCTAATATTATACATTTATTTTACAAATCCATTGTACAAAAAATCATCTTATAAGTTAGAATCTTAACATAAAATTTTTTTTTACGCGTATAATAACAAAATGATAACTCTAAATTGATGGGATACACGATCTGTTTATAATTTATAGGTTCAAAAGCAATAAAGCGATTTAAACATTTTGATGGTCGGTATAAATGACGTTTTAAATCCACATATTTTGACGTCCTGACGTTTTGGCGACGCGACGAGTGACGTTGTCCAATCACTGTCCAGTTATAAACCGCTCGCTGATAACTTGTCCATTTCCTGCCAACCGTCCTAAATCTGCCGCCAGCGCGGGAACAGACGCTCAGTTCTGGCGGGTTTGTTATCGAGGAGTTAAAACCGGCCATAAATGTACTGTGTTTGAAATTAAAAATAACGATGTTTGATAGAGGTGGGGTCTGCAAAGATAAAGCCACAAATGCACTTAACGCAGGTTAATAAATTTGTAACTAAACAGTATATATGTTACAGGTGGCAGCACAAAAATAATTACAGAACTAGGTACACCAATGATTTACCAAAAGCTCTAACCGTATTTAGAGCGATATATAAGGTAATACATTATTTGGAAGCAGCTTAATACTATTTTTTACGTAAAGAAATACAATAACAAAACCTGTAACGATAACATGACTACATTTTAAACAGTAATATTCAATATGTAGCATATTAATTTCCTTGCAATTTCACAAACAAGCTTAAAGGAAATATTCAGACATTAAGGAATATTAGGTCCTATTAAAGTACAGGAATTGTAAGTTTTTATAAAATTGTAAAATGTACTTCCAGTAAATAAAATCAAAGTTCACTTTCAACCTACAATTTTATATTTTACCAAATACACTACATGTTATCATCTCTAATGCAATATTTAAATAGGGAACTCCTTTCATAACTTATATTAAAAACATCAATCCAGAGAGGAACAAAGACTAATTAAAAATAAAACACTAATGCCTCCGGGGACATTTGGAAAACTCATTTTCCGTTTCAAATCAAGAAAAATAACCTCGGAAGTACACGTTGAGAGTAACTAAAACAAATTATGTCGCCGAACTCAAACAATAAAGCTCTCGTCAAACAGACGGACTCATTTAGGTGGAACGGTTGAAACGACAGTCTCTGCAATTTAGAAAACTCTCTTTATGAATAAATGACCGAGATATTAGCGGAGTTCTGGAATCTCTCGGGGTGCAGAGCCAAAAGTGACGGCGAGATCGAGCGCGCTGCCCGCACGCTTCGCCGAACAACGACACTAATCGACAAAGACGAGAACGGCTCACTTACCCCGGAAACAAAGAGTCAATCGATTCCTGCAAATCCGACGGAGGCTTCTTGTCGAACAAACGATAAGGCGGATTAGGGTTAAAACAATGGCTCTTTATAAGCAGCTGTTATAAAGTTTGGCACAATGAGGAGATTACGTCATCGCAGCGTCGCGGCGTCGTCCGAGTTGACAACTTTATTATCTCAAACTTGGAGTCCGCCGGGGCTGGGATGAAACGTTGATTTGCTCTTGTTGGACCTTCCGATGGGGTTTGAATATTAAAAGTATATTATAACGCATTTACAACTGTATATCATAGCTTTATGGGCTCACAATAATTAAATTAATAAAATCAAAGAACAACGTGGGCTGTTTTATTCTTTATCGTATACTAGAAAAATTATACGGCTAAAATCCCAGCATTTAGGTAAAATGGCTTTGGAAACATCTACAGAATTAAGTATACAGTTCCATGGTGGAAAACATACTTTTAAACAGTGAATTTTCTGGATGAAAGTAAATTTAACACAGATAAATCAAAATAATGTTGTCCAAAATTGATTAGATCGGAAAAGAAGAAATTAGCAAAATACTGCTTAGCAATGCATATTATTAAATTTATATTTACTAAAAGGTTGTGTAAGAATAAGGTAATTCCAAGAATACTTGAAAAGAGCAGGTATGGATCATAAACATAAACAAATGACGTCGTTGGCTCGAGAATAAACATTATTTAACATTGCTTAAATGGAACTGTCTACACATAATATGTTAATATATTATGTTAATGCTTTTAGTATAGGTTTCTAGCCAACAACGTCATTTGTTTATGTTTATGATCCATACCGGTTTTCTTCAAGTATCCGAGGGCAAATCATATTTATAATTGGATTTTATGTAAAACCATGGGTTTCTTTATCTCGCAGTTTGCTCCTGTTGGTAAATAGGTATATTTGTAATGTAAAGATATGAAGATGTTTTAATGTATTATTGCAAAATAAAGGTTGACTGTATTCAACTAAGGTAATCAATCAAGTGATGTAAGAGTGAGTTAAGTAAACTATTTGCAGGTGTAGTGGCTCGACTTGGCTCATTGGCTCTGGAATAAGGCAAGATCAGGGACATCGCCATTTGCTAAATTGCTGCCCTCTACTCCGACTAATTCGCATAACACGGACATTACAAGACGCTATCTTGCAGAGTTTATAGGTAAAATAAATTGATACATCTTTTAGTCATTACAACTTCTACGACGGTTGAAGTTATCAATAAATAGACAATTGTGCACTTTATAATTACCAAAAAACCCAGAAAATAAGGCATGTAATTTATGTTATCGGTGAGATTGCTGACATGTGTGTTACTTTGCAGAATATAACAGTGTAAATGCAATATACACTCGTTTAATTATTTATGAAGACAATAATACTTCGATACAAGAAAATTGTATTTACATTTTCGATCTGGACACAGTTCTTAACTGGAAAATTTATGAAGTTAAATAATACGTCTAATATTGACTTACACTGACAAGACATTTTTTAAGCCCCTCAAGAAAAATATGCTCCCCACCTTACTGTCTCCCCGCCCAATCTTTCCCAAACATTTAATCATAGCGGAAAAAAGCGAAATCCCATTACGGAAACATTATCTTTAACGACGATGAATTAGCGGGAAATTCAAAACAGAGGGGAGTCTGTAACAAAGTGAATTAGGGGAGTTTTGAGGCGATGTTTTCAGCCCAGACAGTAGCGTAAACCACAAGACAAACCAGCAAGGAGTGGTGGAGGGGGGGAACGGCCGCGAGCAAGAAAGCATCATTAGCAACATACATAGACGAGGGCTCGGCTTTTTGAGGGGAGTACTACACAATTACTACAGTGGTCGTTTATACGACATGGGTACATCAGCATTCCCCGGCGGGACTATGCTGACGTACCGTTGTGGTGAGCGTAACGCATGGGACGCCTCGATAACGCACAAGTGCTGAATGTATGCTTTAGATGTCAAAATCCTAACAAGTTATATTATACCTAATTGATTGTAACGCATCGGCCGTCACTATGCTGACGAGCGTACTAGATCGAGCTGATTCTGACGCACTAGTCAACACAATGCTGACACGTACTATTACATTATGCTAAGCATGATAGGTCGCAATGTTTGCGTAGCAGTATCTTATGCTGTGCCGAAAGGTTTGGGCGACTACCATTGGTTTTCATGTAAGTAACGTGGTCTCAAAACATGTTTAACAACCAACAATTAGTCGATGACGATTAAATGTTTTGTTAAGAGTTCCCAAGCTAATTAATGCATTTAGTGAAAATGTAGTGAAAATTAAATAACTATATGGATGTGTACCGACATGGTATGTTAAAAAAAATACATATCTGAAGATACCTAAAGCTTAACATTTAATGGACACTTCACCAACATACCCATAAAGTAATTTATTAGCAGAAATAAAAATGTTTTGGACCTAGTTTTTTTTTTTTTTTTTTTTTTTTTTTTTTTTTAAATGACGGTCTAACATTTTTATGTACAAATTGTTGGAAATCACGTTAAACTTGAATGGTGCAAATGGTAACTAAACACAATGTGGGGCGGTCCAAAATCTATAATTCGAGAATACTTTAGATGGATTACACAAAATGTACTTTGACATATGACAGAGAACACATCAACGTAGTCTTCAATGATTCAGCAACGAAAGTAAACTCCACACCGCATATAAGCTCCTCTGTATTCTCGACAGGACAGAAGGGGTAGGACGTACATCACCAGGTAAGCCAGCGGGCGAGCACAAATCAAGGGGTGACTGTGAGAAGAGGCCCCCGAGACGTCGGCACGGCCGTGTAAATCAACGGGTATACGGTCACCTACCTTCCTACTCGGCGCAGCTCGGTGGCAAAGAGTGTCATACTTGTTTATTTTATTATTTGTTAACTTCATCTGCTCGCCACATAGAACATATATTTGTAATATAAAGACAGTGAAGTAATTTTACAGTATAAACGGACGCTGATGTATACATATAATATGCATGTTTCAATGTTTAGTATAAGTGATATCGTGTGATTGGTCTAGACAGGTTAAATTTGAGTATGTTGTGTAAGAGGTGTGAAAACGCAAATTTCTCGTGGTTGCACAGTATACATATAATATGCATGTTTCAATGTTTAGTATAAGTGGTATCGTGTGATTGGTCAAGACGGGTCAAATTTGAGAAAGTTGTGTAAGA